CCCGCGTACGCGCGTTTTGCGCGCACTTTCCCTCTCCGCGCGAGTTTCTCTCCTGCGCGCGTCCAGTTTTCTTCCAGTGTGGTCCAGCTGTGTACCACGTCTCTCCTGCGCGCGAATCAAGTTGCGACATGTTTCCCACTCTTCAGAAACATGATGTTTTTCTCCCCCGATTAAGCATCCGATTTTTATCTTTTTAGCATATTCAAACTCTATAAATAGAATCATTATCAAGGTGATTAGGAGTTGATTAATTTTTAGAGTCTAAATTCTCACACATTTTCTCTTATTTTCTTGTTCTTATTCTCATACTTTCTTTTTAGAATTTTATGAGAATTATGTGCAAGCTAGGCTAGAGTATTTAGGTAAGGCTAGAGATGATCTTATATGTGTAGTGAACTTATTGGGATTTTTGATTCTCTAATGGTTTGTAAGTTTTATACATATGAGTAAATAATTTTCTTTTATCATATTTCTTCTTCTCATCAATATATTTTATTGTCAACTTTCATATAAATCTAGTCAAGCTCTTTTTATGTGATTGTTGCATTATATTATATATTGATCGGTATTATTTTATGAGTAGTCTTTTACTGCATTATTGCCAACGGTATATTGTCACTCTTAGATTTCTCATAAGATAATTTTTTTTCTAATTCTAAACGTTAGAATTTTATTTACTCGAATACATTTTTAATTCATATGTTCTTCAAATATTTATTTTCCGATTGATTGTTTGGGATGTGAAACTTTCAATTGAGTCAATTTATGAATCAAAATCCAAATAGGTAAACAAAGCATATGGAGGATTCTCAAAGCCTTACCACTTTTATTTATTGAATTTTTTTCATTTTAAATTGTTCAAAAAATCATCAAAAACACTCATTCATTTTCTTTGTTTGATTGCTTACTTTCCTAACGTTTTTTATTTGTTAATCATTTCTTGTTCAATTTAACACTTACTCGTGGGATCGACCGTTCAAATTGTACTACAATTGACCGCTTATTTTTGTACACGTTTGGATGTAATCAGTTATCTTTTAGGATATGTCTTATTTTTATTTTATGTTTATCTCATTAAATGAATTAGTTGAGTTTATCTTTTAGATGCGTATAAATACATTAATTAGCATGTAATTTTTATTCAGGTTTTGATGATCGGCGAACATTGAGATTATTGGCTTCTCCTTCTTGAGTAATTGCTCTCTCTCGTGGTTCTCTGCTTAACGCTCTTCTTGTTCTATTTCTATCTTTATTCTTCAATCTATCCTGATCCCACATCAGTGAAGGTTACGTATGTTGTTTTTTAAGGTTGTCTCTTCAAAATTGGTAAAAATGTGTTTATTTAAGTTAAAATACTTGAATTATCCTATTAGGTATTAATCGAGTAAATAGTATTTATGAAATCAATACATAAGACATTTAAACAGAGAGATCTATATAGAGAGAGAGGTTAAGGATTACATTAGAAGCTTTACCTTCCTTCTCCAACCTCTAAACCCTAGTTCACTGCCTATTGGAAACCGCAAGACGAATCAAAACTACTCAATCGAATTTGAATTGAGCCAAGAAAACTGATGATGTCTTGTCAACACTTCCGAAGAATAAAAAGATAAGAGTGCGTTTGAAATTAATTTTTAATTATTTTTAAAAATATTTTTAAAAATATTTTTACACGTCTTTTGAGACACAAAAATGAAAACGATCTGTAAACCGTGTTTATTTAGCAAATGTTTTAAAAACGAAAACGAAAAACAAAAAACAGTGAGAATGATTTTTGTGAAGAAATTAGAAAACGATTAAAAGTTATTTTTTCTTTTCTGTTTTCATTTTTTAGTACTTATCAATAATGTTATAATATATTAATTAATAATTATAACCAAACACAATTTTACCTTTTTATTATACTCTAAACAATCTCTTAAAAAACTAACCAAACGCAGTTTCAGAATGTGTCTCAAAATAATCTCATTTTTACTTTTGTATTGGAAACAAAATCATTTTGAAGACGTTACCAAACGGGCTCTAAGTATTGTTTTTGAACAAGAAAAACACTTAACAAATGAGGTAAATCACTTATTTTGTGTTCAAAATTCGTTGTCACCAAATTTTGTGTGGGATTCAGTCCGTTATTGATACTCATATAGCTCGTGCAATTGATTAGAGATTATTAAAGAAGCAAGAGAGAAATAGAGGGGGATGAGATTAAAAAAGAATGAGAAGAGAAATTCGAACATCCAATTCAAATGTAACACAAATATTTCTCAACTTTTAATCCATTAAATCTAATAAAAAATTTGAATAATTTAATAAATGGAACACATTACAATAATTTTACAAGTTCCAGAGTTTGATTGTCAAAATTAAAAATTTAAGTGAAAATTTACTAAAACACAACAAATTCAGGAATAATTGTGCTAAAAATCCTAAATAAAAAATAAAAAATGGGTCATTCGGTAGAATAACACTAGGATTTGACTTTCAAACATGGATTCCACCCCCCTAACACCCAAAAAAAAAAAAATCAAATAATGCCCAATTATATATATGTATAAAATGTTTATAGATGAGTAGTTGTAATTTTATAATGAATTTTATGCAACTTGTGAAAGGTGGATGTGATTTGAAGTTCAAAATTTGATTTATTTGATATTTTATTTAATGTTAAAGGGGAAAAAAGGAGATAAAATATATGTATAGAAGATCTATTGAACAAAAAACTAGTGAATTACTGTTTAAACTTTTTTGTTATAGAGTTTTTTTTTTTAAATTTAAATTTTTTTTTTAAATTTATAAATCAAACGGCCAGTAATACTAGTTAAGGTTTGAACTTGGAATATGATGGGTTTGTAACATAATGAGTCAATGATCAGTTGCTTCTTGGACCACCTAGTGGAGCATCAACCTTATCTAGTCTCAATCAGCACTTTTGTGGCCCATATCTAGTTTAATAAAACCAAACACACTTTTGTCATTTTAATTCTCCCTGACCATCAAATTAAAATTGGGTCCCTTTCGGCCCAAGTAGTTTTCCCCATAATTTCCTTGCATTTATGGCCTGATTGAGGCCTAGGCAAGTCTTTTTGTGTAACAATATTGAAACTAATGTTCATTGAAAATCTGATGTTCCATTAAATTTGCCTTGAGGAGTATTAAAAAGAATGAGACTTAACATAAATTCATAATTAAGAAATTAATAAAATGCCGAAATCTTGTTTGAATTTATTAATTCGAGTCATTCAACCCAAGGAGGCAGATAGAGAACAAACAAGAAATAATCAATTTCATGTACTACTTAATGTGACAAGTGACAACAAATTATAATGATTTTATTTCCCCCTCAAAAGAGAGGAGAAAAAGAAAAAGAAAAAGATATACACTACAGGACCTGGGACAAAGATTTCCTGGCGTACATAAACAAAAGGACAATAAAATTCACTGAATTTTGGCAATACAAACCCTCGCTATCAAAGCCCATTTGGCCAGCTAAGATGCTTGGTCTCATTTATGTCTAATGTCTATACAAATTTAATGTAATAATAAAGGGCATCTCTTTCTATTTTCACAACTTTTAATCTGGAACAGAATAATAATAATTGAAAAAAAAAAAAAACCCGCATTTTTCTCACACAAAAATGTAGCTAAGCATTTCCCTCAAAAGAAGAAGAAGAAGAATAATAATAATAATAATAATGTAGGTAATCCGTATTTTCTCTTAATTCAGAACAAGTCAATAATAAAAATAATGGAAACAAAAATATGACATAGTATACCTTTCTTAGCATATATTAATGCATAATAACAGATTAGACTAATAAAAGAACTATACCATATTTGCTATTTTGCCACCCACAAACAGCACTATTCTATTAATTTATAATCAAAGTTCAGAAGTCAATAACAATTGCCATTAATTTGGTCTCTACATCAATTTTACAAAGAGGCCCCCGTCTCTATTTCGCTATTCCCAAGAGAAGAAGAAAATACCCACAAAAAAAAAAAAAAAAAAAAAACCGATAAGTTTCTTCTTATTTTCCGTCAACTTGAAATAATAAAAAATTGAAAATATGGTAAAAAGTTTTTTTTTTTTTTTTCAAAATTTGTTCTTAAGGCTATTTGATGTATAGACTAGACTAATAATAATAATAATAGTAATACCACCCGCACCATACCATCCATCATCACCATTGCTACGCTTAATCATCAGTCAAACACGAAAAAAGTCAGCACATCAAACGTTCACCGGCTTGCAGAGGAACATGAGCGACGATGCTGATGTGTCAGCACCCCCACCCCCAAGCTTGCCGAGTCTCTCGTAGTAATCGACGCAGAATAGCGAGAGTGAGAGCTGGACCTCGTCCCGAGTCCAGACTCGCCGGGTCAAGGCCGAGTCACCGCCGAGCCGACTCAGCACGGGTCGAACACAGACCATGTAGAGCCGCCTGTAGCCGCCGAGCGCCACCACGACGGTGCGTACGGACGGGGGCGGCGGAGATGACACCTGGCGGAAGCAGAGGTGCTCCCAGAGCGAATCGTTACGGGCGACGGCGCTCCACAGCCGGCAGACGCAGGCGGCGATTCCGAGCGACGCACCGTCGAGGCGCTTCAGAATCTCTATGAGGATGTCTATGTTGTCGTTTATGCAAAACGCCTGTCGTTTATCCCTGTCCGCTGCGTTTAATTGGTTCTGCATGTTTTATAACTTTTGTGAATATAGAGAGAGAGTTAGGAAACAAATGAAGACGTTTGAGTGAATATATAGGAAGTGAGCAGTTTAAGTTATGGTTGTGCGTTAGAGTGAAGTGGGGTTTTTGAGAATTTGACTTCTACATGAGAGAGAGAGATTTGTTTATTTTTGTTTGGTTAGTGAGAAAAATTAAGAGAGAGAGGAGGAAAAAAAGGGGTATCGAGGAAAGAGAGAAAAGAGCCAAAGGGTAAGTTCCAAGGCAAAGATAACTGGAACCTATGCCCTGCTTTTCTTTTTGTTGCTTTTAAAAATAATATATATATATATATATATATATATGTATATATTGTTTTTCGAGATTAAGCAGGGGTTTTTGCTTTTGTTGTTATTTTGCGTACTTCAAGAATCAATACTAGTATTGCGGTTCCAACTTTAGAGCTAGCTGGCCCTGGCCGTTGTGAAATGTAAACGCTTGTAATATATAACTTTGATCAAGAGTGTTTTTACCGACCAAATATTACTGTAAATATATATTTTGGCCTTGCATCGATAGTCTGCAAAGTCTATATGTGTTGTGTGTACGTATTATATAATGGTGAGCTTGCAATTGGGGTGGACCATTGTCCATATATATTATATATATATATATAATATATATATATATCTATATATATATATATATATGTTGTAGGGACTATAAATATAGGATCCTAAGCCAGTTTTTATTTTATTCATGCCATCCATGGGCTCACAACAACGGCTCCCTAGTCTCTCTACAAACCAATGTTTGTCTCACTATACATATAATTGGTCAGAAAAGAAAGATCATGCTAAGCTCGGACATATGAGAGCCTGATTTTATGTTTCATAATCATCGATTAATCTTTTCAATAGAAAATTATGCCCGTGATTGCCTACATAACTTGGTGATAGTTTCACACAATTTTCTATTACAAAGTGTATAGTTTCAATTCCCTATCTCATTTCTCAAGTAAAAAAACAATCATGCCCAACTAATTACTTAAAGTGAAATTACATTTTTAGTCCCAAATTTTAAGCTTGTCCAGTTCAATTTCAATTTGTATGAGCTTCCGGTCCCCCAAATAATTTATATATATTGCAAGACACGTATCATACATATAAAGAAATTTTTAAGAATGTCATAAAATAGATAACACTATTTTATTTCTGGGATCAATCTTAAATTTATGATTAATTTATGCTATTCGTAATCAAATAGGATATCTTTCATATTCTATTAGAATATTTTTTTAATAACATAAATAATAACATGATAAAAAACTATAGTTATTCTCATAATTTTCTCTGTAATACATACTTTATCATTAATTCGTATAAATTATAATTGTCGGAAAGTTCAACATCATGAAAATAATGGACCCAATATATTCGACAGTAACTAACAGTACGACGTACATATCCTGATAGCTATATATTATATATTGTACTCAAATTAATTTTGAGAAAGTAATAATTTAAGGGCCCGTTTACTTTGCTGATTCGAGTTTGTAATTCGAGTTGAGATGTAATTTTATGTGAAAGCTTTTTATGTAGTAAGAAAGTTAGATGTGATTATTTCTGAGAGCTTTTTACTGTAGCAAAACTCGAATTATAAACTCGAATCGGCGAAATGAACGGATGTTTTTAGGTTAAGTTATTGTTTTTTTATTTTTGGATAAAGATTATTAAAAGTCTATAAATAAGTGTTTGTATAAGATTTTATGCATTCTTAGAGAGAGAAGTGTAGAAAAAGATTGTCTCTTTTTTAGAGAAAGAGGAAAAAGTTAGGAGAGAGATAGGTAAATAGTGTAAAGGGTTTTAAGTAGAGAGATAAAGTAAGAAAGTTTATTGAGTGTGTAATTATGAAATTATTAGTTACGTAAAAAAAATTTTTAAACCACTTAAATTTTTTTTTATTTTTCTGTTATTTTTGTTTCAGTTTAATTTTTTGCTACGTGGGTGTACACGTGTGTTTTTTTCTAATATAAATACATAAATATGTATATATATCGTCTTATTACATATAGATGTTTGGTTGATGGATTCAGAATTATTCTTGATTTATATATATTTTTTATGAGAGAAAATACTGTAACGAATTATGAATCATGATTCGAATTATATCACGAATTTTTAAACCAAACGCACTCTAAATTATTACCGGGACGAAGCGACTTCTCCACCATTAAATTTTGTTTTTGAATCCTGATCATGTACGTAGATGAGGCCGAAAAAGAGGACTAGCTAGACAAGTAATAAAGACAGTGATGATAAATATAAGAAAGAGCTAGGTGCATGGTCGTACAATTACAAAAGCTGGTTGCGTTTTCTCTCCTCCAAAGAATAATTCGTCACTGGCTACCAACCAAACCAGTAGAAGACTTTCGATGATCGTCAGGCCACACTACTGTACACATTCATTTGTCTCTATGGCCTTGGATTTTGGCCTCTAAAAGGAAACCCTCAATTCCTATTACACAGTAAGTATTCGCATTGTATTCGGGCCCGTTCACTTCGCTGATTCAAGTTTAGAATTCGAGTTTTTTTACAGTAAAAAACTCTCACAAACAATCACATCTAACTTTTTTACTACAATAAAAAGCTCTCACATAAAGTCACATCTCAACTTGAATTCTAAACTCGAATCAGCGAAGTGAACAGGCCCTTAGTAAAAACTTTTTTCAATTATTTGTTTATGAAAAAATTATTAAACTTACCCTCATATTGAGTCAGAGTTTTTATATTTTATTTTTGATTAATATAATTATTTAATTAAAATGATATTAATTAAAAATAAAGAGTAAAAAATTAAATTTATTCACTTTAAAAGATATTTGTCTCACTCTCTCTTTATTTATTTAGTACTGTTAATCTCTTTAAATTTTTCTGATAGTTTCAATCTATGATTATAAAATTGGTGATAAATTTCTGTATAATTTAATAGAGGTACTCCTGTTACCATCACATTATAATTTTTTCTTTTTTTTTTTTGCTGGGACCAAACTTTTACAAAAATAACTTTATTAGTTGCAAAATGTACTTTTCAATACTGTGAAAAGAGCTTGAGACTAGAACATTTTACAGTTAATATAATGATTTCTATAAAATTTTCTATGATTATGTGATATGAATGTGATTATTCTGTTAAATTTTAATGGCCCATTTCTCAATTTTAGTGTTAAGGATCATAATTAATAAGAATGTGATTAAATAAGAAGTTTATTAGATTATAAAATAGAAAAAAGAAAAAAAAATACACTTTAAAATATATAAATCTTGAATTTTTATTCTTAATCTCAATTAATATCTTTTTTACAGACCCTACACTTTTAAGTTTTTTTTTTTATAAATTCAAATGGCTCGTTCACTTCGTGGATTCGAGTTTTCAATTTGAGCTGAGATGTGATATTTTCTGAAAGCTTTTCACTGTAACAGAAAAAATTAAATATGATATTTTTTGAAAACTTTTTACTGTAAAAATTTAAAATTAAAAACTCAAATCGCTAAAATGAACAAGGCGCAAGATTTTCTGATCTATAAAATAACATAAAGCTGATAGTTGGCGACGGAGGGGCTGAAAGTGAGGCTTCTTACTTCTTAGGCAGTAAGTAATGGGCCCACATTTGGGCCTCTGTGTCTAGAGAGAGAGAGAGAGAGAGAGAGAGAGAGAGAGAGAGAGAGAAGGAAACTGTCATGGGAAGTTGTTTTGTATTGTGTTGGACTTGTTGGTTGGACGCACTTAAAGAGACTGCCGATGAGGAATTTGATAATTGCAAGACTACAAGAAGGAAACCCGTGAGTGAACTGTGCTAGTGTTGAATAACAAGAGAATTTCACCATTTTATTTATTTTTTATTTTTACACTCACTAGTCACTACCCCCAACGACTACTTTTGTACTTTGCTGTTTGTAAAGTATGTGCCACGTGCAAGTAGGTCAACAGTGTATCTTTTTTACTCTTCTATCGTAAATGTCAATATTTCAGAATAATAAATTATATATAAATAAAGTTTATGTCGGTTTATTTTCTTGATTTAAATTTAAAATTTGAGTTTTATTATAATAAATTTTTTTTAAAACAGTTACATTTAATTTTTATTTTTATTACAGTAAAAAAATTTTGATATAAAACCACATTTTAACTCAAATTAATAAACTAAACGAGCTTAAGTTTAGCAGACGTACATTTTGACAAATGTAACATTTTTTTAATTCTCAGTTATATGTTTGTATAACATTTAGTTTGTTTAAATGTAATACTCAATGGGTTGAATTACAATTTTTTTTAATGTTACATTTTGACAAATGTAATATTATTTTATTCTCGTTTAAGATCATTCATATATTTGTGTAATATTTAGTTTGTTCAAATGTAGTACTCAATATTATATATGTTGAATTATTATTATTATTATTTTAATGTTACATTTAAAAAAATTGAGTACAACATACACAAAATAACGATATTATACGATAATATAAAAAAAAAGTTATATTTGCTACACTGGTCCGGCTGTGGCAAGACTTTCAGAGTATGTCTAGAACTGCCAAAATTCCACGGCTCATAGAGTATGATGATGCTTTTGAATTTTTACTCCCTTTGTTTCCTCTGTCTTTTTGCGTTTTGATTTGGATTGATAAGAAGGATCTTACATTATTGTAGTCGAGTTCACAGGAAGGGCAATTTCTGATCTGAGAAATTCAATCATCCTTGGATGAAAAGTGAATTTTGATCTAAGGGTTCCTCAGAATTCAATATGAGAATGAGATCAATTAGCATTATTGCAAGAAATACAAAAACCACATCACAAATATGGAGGAGAGACATTATGTGGATTCCACGTACTAATTTTGAGGGGATAATAACATAACATCACATATGTTTGATCCAAATGTGAGAAGTTTCTCTCTCTCTCTCTCTTTTTTTTTTTTTTTTTTTTTTTTTTTTTTTTTTTTTCCTAATCATGCAAAGGCCACCTCATGTGTTAGATTAGTCAAAATTAATTAGTTGTGTAAAAATTGTTCTTTCCAAAAAAGAAAATAGTGCACTCCATTTAAGAATAAGAATTTGTCTGAGTCTCAACAAAAATCAAAATTCCCAAAATAATTAAAGTAAATTATTCTTAAATATCAAAATAAATTAAGGATCAACGTTACTGTTTT